ACAATAACATTCAAATTCTAAACAGTTAATGCAGGAAATTGATGTTCCCAAGTTCTCTAGTTGGATCACAATAACCCGCTGAAACTCCCCAAATTCCCAGGATCATCCCATTGACCAAGGGCTGATCGCTAACTCTTTTGGTTTTTGCATCATGGTTTTTCTGGTTCCTATCCTCATGATGGCATGGCTAAAAAGCCACATCTTTGGACAATAAACAGCTGGTTCATCATTATCATCCCCACTAAATAGCCCACTAAAGCCCTGCAAACCAAAAAATAACCCATGCTAAGTGGAACTTTTATGGCCAATGAAAGATTGCCATATTGTTGAAATTTTGCTGGTTTAACTCAAACCCACCAATGTCAATCCCAACAAAATGAGCCCAACTTGGCTGTTTCAAAGCTGACCTTAACTGAGATGATCTTCCAAGTACCCCAAAAAACAAGCAGCCTCCAGAAAGATTGAAGAGTTGGAAACCTGGAAAATAGGGGAACCCATCATCTATACCATCCCGGAAACACATGTCTATTGTTTTGGTGGTTGCTGTAGAGGTTAATAAGCCCGAAACATGGTGGTTGTTGGTGGTTAATAAGCCCGAAACATGAGCCCAAACATTCTTGGGGGATCTCCTGGCTGACGGGTTGGTTGAGATCCCATTGAGGTTTATGTCCCCATTGTTGCTGGTTAATTCCTCTATGTAGTGTTTATAACCCACCAAGTGAGAGGAAATTGTCCAGATCCTCAAATGATCCCAGTCTTTTCTTGGCTTATACCCTCTGGTAAACTAACATAACTATAGAAAATCACCATCCTCAATGGGTAAATCCACTATAAATCACCATTTTCAAGAGCAAACTGTGACAGTTTACCAGAGAGTATCCCAGTCTTTTCGACTGTTTGATCCATGATTTTCCCAGCCAAACCATGTCCTTCGGGGGATTTCCCGGAGGATCGGCCTACATCCGCCAGCTTCCTGGCCCCCCAGCGTCGCCGCTGCAGCTGCCAATGGGTCTCTTGGGTGCAGCGCTGCCAGGCTGCCAGCAGGGCCAACAAGGTGAGGTCCTGGTCCCCCAAAAACCCCAAAAAGCCCCAAAAAGCCCCCAAAAGCCTCAAAAAGCCCCAAAAAGCCCCGAAAAGCCCCAAGGTGAGATGCCAAAAAGTTGCTATGGACCCTGAAAATCACCGTGATTTTTAGTGGAAACTCATCCAAATTGAAAACCCCAAAAACCTAACGGCCCGAAAAACCACCTGAGGTCACTGTTTTTTCATCCCGAGGTTTTTTGATGGAGATCATGTGCGAAGCGCGTTTGCCCAGACCCCGCAAAACTGCAAGTTCATTTGGCAAGATGTTGATGAATCAGCGGATTATTTTGATCCCAAATTCTTTGGACAAACCAAAGAATGCCTGGGCACATTGCTAGAAAATATCGGTCGTCGGAATTCTGGGAATCCATCATTTGTGGTGAGGTCGGGGCCAGTGATGTTGCTATGCACCAGACCTATCACTTTGGATCTACCCTCTGGTAATTTAACATAGCTATGGAAAATCACCATTTTTAATGGGAAAAACCACTATAAATTGCCATTTTCAATAGCTACTGTATGTTAGTTTACCAGAGGGTATCAACTCCTCAACTTGATGTGGAACCCCAAGTCATGGCCAAATCAAAAAATCTAAAAATCCACCAGGATTTTATCATCGTCCAGACCCCGTTCGGACGCATGTTCCATGTCAAATTTAGGGGTGCGTCCAAACTCTCTTCCCCCATTAACAGCATTTTAGTAGTTCACACCATTTAGTGGCTATCTCTCCCAAACCCAATTGATATCTGGAAAAAAATCCTCATTCTCACTTTGGCATCCAGCAGAATCATTCAGAACCCACCGACCTAAAGGTGCATCCCCGTTGCGGCCCATGGCATCGTAGCCCGCCTGTTGTTCAGAGCTCCAGTATCCCCCCGCGCGGCGCAGCACGCGCCAGCACAACGCATTGCGCTTCGTGGTGAAGTTTTCGAAGCAATCGATTTGCACCTGCGATCGTCGGGATGCCGCACCAACCGGGGAAGAAAGAGTGGTGACATGTGGTGACCCAGAAATTGATAAGTGTACCTATACTGCTTGGTGGTATACCTACCCCTCTGAAAAATATGACTTCGTCAGTTGGTGTTATTATTCCCAATATATGGAAAGTCATAAAATTCATGTTCCAAACCACCAACCAGTATAAGTTTACAGGGTTGGGGATGCTTCGCGTAATTGTAATGGGATGATGCGGATTCAGCCAAGCTCAATCAAAGAGGGATATAGGCAGGGGTTATGGTTATTACAGTACCTTGTTAGTTATGGAATCATAGCTACAGTTAAATTGGTTTCTAGACCAATATGCAACTGGTGACAACACCTTGACAACACCTTGTAGGGAAGGATGGAGATATAATCTAGGATATCGTCGGACATAACCAACGTACTAAATGTCAGTTAAACCTACTGGAAAATCAAGAAATCATTCATAGAATTCCATAAATCGTATGAATACTTTAGGCAGGGAGTACATCGGGGACGATATCCTTGTACCATCTGGTTATGACTAACAGTTTGCCATGGAAAATCACCATGCTATTAATAGGTAAACCATCTATTTCTATGGGCCATCTATACCATGGCTATGTTAGTCATAACCAGAGGGTATATCTTATATTTGAAAATACCGACCTATTGGAGATTGTAATGTTAGTTGATGGGCTTTCACCGTTCATGGATTATGATCATCCCCAATCTATTAAGGGTTAACCCACGAAATTGTCATCAACCAGCAGAGTTTTTTGAAGCTTCTGAAAATCAATGGATTGGTTTGACAAAAATTGCGGTTGGAAAAGGGTTTTGAAGTGCGGAAGTTGACCAAGACAAAGGATGATTTGAAGTTTGATATAACCATCGAAAGATACAAAATTGATCAAAATTGAATAATCCACATGTTTTTGAAGAGCTATGCAACCATGATTCTAGCAATGCTGGGTATGTAATGATACTTACCAAAATTCCACCTGATTGCTGGTTGAGCCAGGGTAGGTACCAGGGATATTGATGTGAAACAACCTGCAAGAGGTAGTAGAGAAGAGCAACTAGTTGGTGTTTTCACCTTTTCGTAAAGGTATCCTAAGGGATCTGTCCTTCTTGATGACGCAAAACGACAATGGACCGCCCCGACCTCGATGCCCTGAGGCCAAACACTTCAGGGTACTTGTTTTTTTCGATCAAATGTCGAGGAAATCGCCAGATAATCAGCTCTGGATGGCACCAGAGTATGCTACAAGTCCAGGAACTGCTCTTGGACTGAAGAGCTGTCACCACCACAACCCGGAGCGCCCCAGGTAACGACGGATCCATCCGATAAAATCGCAGCAAATGCGCTTCGTGTGGCCTGGACCTCTTGCACGTTCCTGAGCTGAGATTGGACTGATGAGCTATCCCCACCATGGTCTGGATGGCCCCATGTAACAACTGATCCATCCGCAAGGATGGCAGCGAATGCGCCACCTGTCGCCCGAATCTGCTGCACATTCTTGAGGAAATGTTGGACCAACAAGCTGTCACCACCAAAAGCTCGAGCGCCCCATGTGACAACTGACCCATCGGACAGGACTGCGGCAAACGCAACGTACGTGCCCTGAATCTGCCTGACACTCTTGAGCTGATCTTGCACTGCAGAGCTGTCGCCACCATGTCCTCGGTCACCCCACGTAACCACTGATCCGTCTGCCAGGATGGCAGCAAATGCATTGGTGGTGCTTTCAATCTGCTGCACGTTCTTGAGTTGCCCTCGGACAGCAGAGCTGTCACCACCATCGGCACCTGCATGAGCACCTCCCCATGTAACTGCCGATCCATCTGATAGGATCGCAGCAAATGCAGCTTGGTTGCTCCGAGCCTGCCGCACATTCTTGAGCTGACCCTGGACGGCAGAGCTGTCGCCGCCACAAAGTCCATCGCCCCAGGTAACCACTGATCCGTCCATTCGAATAGCACAAAAAGCACCGGCTGTTGCCTGAATTTGCCACACATTCCTGAGTTGATCCTGAACTGGAGCGGTGTCACCACCTAAAGCTGGATTGCCCCAAGAAACGACTGATCCATCTGAAAGGACTGCCGCAAATGCTGCAAGTGTGCCCTGCACCTGCTGCACATTCTTCAGCTGGTCGTGGACTGCAGCGCTGCTAAGGGGTTCGCTTCCCCACGTAACGAGCGATCCATCTGCCAGGATGGCTGCGAATGCACCACTCACACCCAGTGCTTCCATTGCAGAATGTGTACCTTGCACCTGCTGGACACTCTTCAGCTGCTGCTGAACTGCAGAGCTGTCACCACCCAGCGTGGGGTTGCCCCAAGTGACAATCCCATCCCCTCCAAAACACCACAAGGCGAAAGCTTCGGGGTTCGATACGAACTTTGCTTGTCGTACAATTGCAGTCAGTTCATCCTGATCCTGCAGCCCTGCTTCTTCCAGGGATTCTGCAGCAGATAGGACACGGCCCTTGGCAGTGACTAGCCGCAAGAAGCCTTGCTGGAAGGACTGCTGCGCCAAACGCTTCAAGTCCCCAACTTTGGAGGACTGTGGCAGCGTAAGACTTTTCCTCTTTCCACTTGGCAAAGCAACGTGGATCTGAAGCATCAAGGATGAGAACGCCAAGTGTTTTCCTGGCAACAAAATTATGTATCTCGAGCCAAGCTCCACAAGCGTTTGGAGTTTGGAGTGTCTATCCAGTGAATATGTGAGAGATTCTAGGATTCCGGGTCAAAGAATTGCCATGTCAAGCGTCAGGATCACCGTTTTGAACCTGTAGTTGCGATTTCGCGCATCCGAAAAGAACTGAACGCCCATCTCTAGAGGGGTCTTCAAAAAAAGATCTTAGAGAGGTCTTATTGGCATGGATTTCCAATGAGATCATTCTTTTACAACCTTAACATGCATGGTAAATACAGAAACTATGATGTTTAAAAATCTCTGTGTCCAAAGAATAGGCTGCACTGCTCCATCTCCAATGGTTCACAACCTCCTTTTTCCATTGAAACAGCAAGGCAAACTACCATTTCCACACGAAACCCATATCAGACTGTCGGTGACATATCCCATGATGTCTCGTGATAATGCTGCAGTATATCCTCATAAAATTGCTGGTTTAGTCCCGAAATGAAAAATTCAACTGATTGGTCCCCAGGAAAAATGTCTTGTTGGCAAATCCTGTTGGAAACCTGCCACTATAAAAGGTGGGTGACTAACGTCCTGGCAGAGACCCTTTCAGGTATAACGGTCAACAGGCTGATTTTTGGAAATGTTGCATAACATATCATAATAGATCATAATATATTAAGATATCATAAGATATCATAAGAGATCATAATATATCATCTGGGTAAATTATAATATTTCACGAACCTGAATTAAAGCCATTTGGGGATGATTCCCCTTACTAACCATGATTTCCAGTGAGGTCGCAGTGAGGTCGTTATAATTTTCCCAGATATCATGATATATCAGTGAGAAATGATCTTGTCGTGGCATCCGCACTTTGCTGACTTGGCGAAAAAACCGCCAAGGCCGGTCTTTGAAAAGATCACGGTGAAAAAGTGCCCATATCAAGCTGCTTGGTGGTGATCTTGACCATCTTGAAAAATGATGGACTTAAAGTCAATGGGCTTGGGATGACATCCCATATATTTATGAAATGGAAAATATAAAAACCATGGTATGAAACCACCAACCAGCAATTCATGAGTCTAAAAGTAAGTAGCAGCCGCTCTGGTTCTAAGATCACAGTTCCCTCACCATCCCCGCATGGTTTTCTTATGTATGCTACCCCACTCTGGCGGGCTAGCACCTCAAGGTAGGATAGTAGGTCCACTTCCGTTTGCCGCCGCCAGAGTTGCAAATGTCTCCTGAAAGATGCGAACCGCTTGAGACAGAAGTTCGAACAAGACATTTACCCACAGATTAGCCACAGATTACCACATAGTTCAATATGTTTATTCAAATTGACCCACAAAAATATTCGGATTTCGGCCACTTTTTGTTCCCTCACCAAGCAGCTTGGTGGCAGCCGTTGTTACCCAGGAAATCAGTGGATTTCATAGCAGCTGTATACGTTGGTCGTCTCGCTGATCAGGATCTCAAATGGGGCTGCCAAATAAAGCCATGATCTTCAGCCCAAAAGGTTGATAAAAAAGGGATGATATGTTTTGGTGGCTGATCTCTAGTACATGGATGGAATCCAGTTGAACCCTGCTAATACTCTGGATGGGTGCAAAATCCTGCATCACCTTGAATGGTTGAAGTAAATAATGGGATGTTTACCACCTATCAACTGGTGCAGGATTTCTTCCATCCGTATGTTTTCTGTAAGCGTGTTTATGGTGTGCGCCTCAAACCCCACATTCTGGGCCCTTACCAAATCATTCTATCTCCACCTGTACAGTTATTTCTTGTTCATTCAAATCCCAACATCTTCTGTATCAACAAACCATTTTTCATCAATTTCCTATTCTTGGCACCTCACAAGTCCGAATTTTTGGCATCTGAAATTCCATCATATCCCCTCCCCCCAAAAAAAAAAGATTCCCCACCTGCGTTTATCAGCCCCACATCCGTTTGATTCTTTGACAAATTCCAACGCTTGTTGGTTGAGGCCCCATGTTTGTTCATAATAAGATCAAATCACAACAACTGTTGGTTCAGTCAACCCTTTTTGTTGGTCCGATCCTCATTCACCTTGCTACAACCCTTGTTTTTCCCCATCATTTTCCTTGTTACCCTCAAAGTTTTTATTGCCTGAAAATGGTCGATTAAGCTGATAATTCACCAACTTGAAAATGGCTGAAATAAGGCTATTTCGGAATGATTCCCCTTACAATTCATCCAAATGAGATGGATTTGCTTGTAGATCCCATTGCATATCCGTATCAACCATATTCAACCATAATGTTACAATAGGATATGCCACCAGATTTCTCCCTTTTTCGCCCACCAAACCACGCCGCCTCTGCAAATGTTTGGTCAGCAGCCGCTCCAAGCGCCTGGCTGCCTGCGACCTCTGCCGCTGCAGCCGCCAGCTGCTGAAGGCCTCTGAAAGCTGCTGGCGTTGGCTCAGGGAGGACGCCATCCTTGGGCCGTGAGGCAAATCTTGAGGAAACCCACCAAGAAAAATATACAAAAATGGATATCACCAAGAAAAATTGAGATTTCGATGGACTCAAGGAATTTACAATCACAAATTGGTAGAATTTACCACCAAAAATTTGGGGATTTGGATGGATTTGGATGTGTTTTACCAAGGAACATGTAGATGTTCGCGGATTCGACCCAAAAGATTGGTAGGGGTTGATAGATCTACCCGACAAAAGATTATGTAGTGGGTTTATAGTCACGGACTATCACGTAGAGCGCATTTTTCCAAAATTCCAAATCGCACACTTAGAACGTCCCCAACCCTCTTGATAAATACCAGGCTCTAAGTGCTGCACTCAGAACGTCAAATTTCGTGCAATTTGTTGAATTGCGTTCTAGCCCGTTGCAACCATTTCCACCCCCACAACTATTTACGTGGTGATCGAAAATTCAGGATCCCAAAGGGTTCTGAGTGTGCGATTTGTTGAATTTTGGAGAGCAAATTAATTACGTTCAAAGTGATATTCCGCTGCAACCGTTGCCACCCCCAGAATTACATGGGCAGTGACTGATATTCGGAACCCCATGGGGAAACGGTTTCTTCAGTGATGGATCTGCGGGACTTGTGCCAGCTTTCACAGAAGGTTTGCCATTAACAGGGGGTCTACGAATAAGATCTCCAAATACAAAGTGAGAGCATGCCACATATCTACAGGGGTGCTACACGTTTTTCTTGTAATCTTACCTTTCAGAGGGGATATATGCATACGATTTCGAAATACGAAATGAGAGCATTGAGAGCATGCCATGGCGTGTCGGGTTTTGCAAAGAGATATTGTTTGGACGTTCTAAGTGTAGGCTCAGCCCATCTACAAGGATTCTGCACGCTAAAAAGACTTACCCAGAAGAAATCTATGCATAAAATACCAATATGAAATGGAAACATGCCATAGCGTGCCTCTAGATCTTTAAACGAAATATGTAAGACGTTCTAAGTGTAGTTTTCGCACTCTCTCTCTACAAGGGTCCTAGACGCTACGTTTAAGGCGTACAATTCAAAGGGAATCTATGCATAAGGTCTCGCAATACGAAAATGAGAGCAGGCATGCCACAGCATGCGTTTTGATAGTTCAATCCAAAATGTGGGACGTTCTACTAGGGTCCTAGACGCTATGTAAAAAGTTTGCAACCCCGAAGAAATCGATGGATAAAACCTCTACATACAAAAATGAAATGGGAGCATGCCACAGCATGCCTCTAGATTTTGAAACGAAATATGTGGGACCTTCTAGTTGCAGGCTTCCCAAGCTATCTTCAAGTGTCCTAGACCCGATGAAAAAGGTTTACCATTCAGAGGAAATCTATGCACAAGTTTTCGCAATACGAAAATGAGAGCATGCATGGCACACTATGGGTTGCAAACAAGGCCCCCAACCAACCAACCAACCAACCAACCAACCAACCAACCAACCAACCAACCAAGCACAGGTTGACGCTCATGATTTTAAAACCCTTAATGTGGAAACTGTTTTTCAACCACAAAAAAATGCAAGATAAAGGAACCATCCAGTTGGCAGATCCCGAAAAGCAGTACAGTTGCGTGTTTTAGGCGTGGAATGTTAGGTGCGGGCGCCTCTCGCGTGAGCTTCAATAGTTGGGAAATGCGGCGCTTGCGCTTTCCCCTTGGAGGACAACGCGTACTTGCACGGAAACCCAATCTTGGCGCAATTTCTGGGTTTTGTCCTGCGCAGGTTTGTGGGGCATTGCATTTTCTGGGGATTCATGGGCTGTGCATTTTCCTTGATATGCGAGATCTGCATAAGAAACGACTTTGTCTTTGTCACGTCTTCTACACAGACACTGCACAGGCTAAAAATTCAAAAGAAGCAGAGAAATGCAGATCATATCTAGCCCAAAAAATGACCCAGATTCATATCTAGCCCAACCCATCTTGGTTATCTTGGATATCTAGCCCAAACAATCTTTACCATCTGGTTATGACTAACAGTTCGCCATGGTATAGACGGCCCTAACCGAAATAGATGGTTTACCGTTCTTAATAGCATGGTGGATCTTTCCATGGCAAACTGTGAATGTCATAACCAGAGGGAAAATCCCATTAAATTCCATTATATAAATCCCATTAAATCATGGTTCAATCCCCCATGTTAGTCATAACCAGAGGGTAAGTGGTTTCTACATTCCAAAAACTCCGCCATCTCAATGCCATCGCCACGTCACTGCAGTTCCCGCGCCATAGCTTTGGCAGTTTGCTCCAGCAGCTCCTCGCGCTGCGACGTCAAATCCTGCAGGCGCTCCTGGCACCGAGGCCATGAGTTTTGATGCTGCCCCCTATAAAAACGCCAAAAAACTAAGGAAACACTGGTAGGATCCCTATGAATCTGTCATTTTATGGGGAAAAAAACCTGATTTTATGTAAAAACCCGCTGAAAAAAATGGGGAACAACATCGGACCCAACGGATTCTATGGCTTTGCAACTGAACTGAGGTTGACTATGATGATAGACCAAAATCATGTTGCGCGGGTGTGGCAGTTTTGTGCTATGGCAATTGGCATCCTGCACGCCTGAAATGGGTTATTTCTTTCTTGGCCACTTGAGACCAGTGGAAAGTTGTCCCGGCGAGTGAACGGTATTGGGTTGATTTCAATTATCTACAGGAACCAAGGTGTTTACCAGTAAATATGGTGGGTCTTGTACCTTGTCTCTTCATCCCATTCCGGTTCAACCTCTGTCGTCCCCAAAACTACTGATTCAGGTGGCAACTTCCTTATTCGATCGAAATAAGCCCTCTTAGACCAGTTAGCCAAACCCCACACTCAACCAACGACCAACGACACTGTGGGCCGATTGACCTCCCACAAGTTTGGCTGATTTCTAGATCAAATAGAGTTCACCAGGGCTTCGTTTGGGAGCTATGCATCTTTAATATTAGGGAAGGAATCAATATGAATGACTAATAATCTTAATGATAATATCAATATATTATTATTGACTATCATCATGATTATCACTATTCGCAATTGTCATCATTTTTATTGCTATTTATGATTATATAAACATAAAAACTACCCACACATGATAAGACAATTGTTCTAATACTGTCATAACCATGGTGGGGATGATTGCAAATGTTACCAATGATGATAGTATATATTGTTTTGACTATCATCGTTAACATTATCGTTCACCGGTATCATTGTTGTCATTCCTATCATCGAAAAAACTGATAATGATGGTAGTGTATCCCATTGTGATGGTAATCATCCCTTCTCATCACAATTCAATGATATCATAATAATACTCGCATGATTGTGGTACTGTAATATAGTAATATATTCTCAGCAAATGACTTAGTCATATGCGGACATACCCTCAAAAAGCATAGTCCTATGTCATGAGCAAACATCCCCTTGGTGGTCTGGGTCCCTTACTCCTATGTCATCACAACAAACCATAGAAAACATGTTATTTTTAGACAAGTTTTGCAAGGATATAAGGCATTAGGAAACAGTAGGCAGTTCCTAAGTCATGATCTATGACTGCAGCTGTTTTGCTTGAAAGACGTGATTGGCTGATTGGCTACTGCGCTCCAGGACATATAAATATACTACAACGCGCAGTCCAAAGTTATCAGGGTTTCACCTGTTGAGAGTTTGGGGATAATAAGAATAGATAGATAGATAGATAGATAGATAGACAGACAGACAGACAGACAGACAGATAGATAGATAGATATTTATATATATATATATATTATAAATATACTAGTGGCAGATGACTTAGGAACAAGAGACTCCAATGACATAAGAACTAGACTTTTTTTTACCATTTAATTGGCCAAGACTGAGAAATGGCCAAGACTGAGAACGCGCAGTCCAAAGTTATCAGGGTTTCACCTGTTGAGAGTTTGGGGATAAGAACAGATAGATAGAGATATATATATATTATATAAATATACTACTGGCAGATGACTTAGGAACAAGAGACTCCAATGACATAAGAATTAGACTTTTCTTTTACCATTTAATTGGCCAAGACTGAGAAATGGCCAAGACTGAGAACGCGCAATCCTAAGTTATCAGGGCTTCACCTGTTGAGAGTTTGGGGATAAGAACAGATAGATAGATATTTTTTTCTATATTAATATATATTACAAACATACTACTGACACATGACTTAGGAACAAGAGACTCCAATGACATAAGATCTAGATTTTTCCACTTAATTGGCCAAGACTGAGAAATGGTCAAGACTGAGAACGCGCAGTCCTAAGTTATCAGGGTTTCACCTTTTGAGAGTTTGGTGATCAGAACAGATATATATATATATTTATATTAAATAAAAATACTATATACTGGCAGATGACTTAGGAACAAGAGACTCCAATGACATAAGAACTAGATTTTTTTTCCATTTAATTGGCCAAAACTGAGAAATGGCCAAGACTGAGAACGCGCAGTCCAAAGTTAACAGACTTTCACCTGTTAAGAGTTTGGGGATAAGAATAGAATAGATAGATATTTTTTGTTATATATATATATATTATACATATACTACTGGCAGATGACTTAGGCCCAAGAGAGTCCAGTGACATAAGAATTATATCTTTTTTTTACCATTTGATTGGCCAAGACTGATAAATTGCCAAGACTGAGAACGCGCAGTCCTAAGTTATCAGGGTTTTTCTATATATTCTTTATATATACGTATATATATATATATTTGCCACTAAGGGTGACTTAGGCACTTTAAACAGGAGCCGGATGACTTAGGCACTTTAAACAAAAAGCAAGCTGGACAGAGATGGATTTTCATTTTGATGCCTTGTTTTATGCATGGTGCGCCTCATTACTCTTTACTTGCAAGGGAAGCCTGCCGACATTGAAAGTTGGCAGGCCCAGCTTACTGAATTGAAATCGTTTTTGTGAGCTATGGCTAAGACTGAGAGCGTGCGTTCCTAAGTCATCAGGGTTTCTGCTGAGAGTTTGGGAATAAGAACAGAGAGAGAGAGATATATATATATATACATACATACATACATACATGCATACATACATACAAATATACTACTGGCAGATGACTTAGACCCAAGAGAGTCCAATGACATAAGAACGACATATGTTTTAACCATTTATGCGTTTGCAACCTTCTCGTTAATTTCAAGTGCCACAAGTTTTGACCACGGCTCAACAGCTCCACGGTGCATCTTTCACTGACATACCGGTGATTCATCTTGCTGGCTTAATAGGAGCTGAATGACTTAGACAGCTTTAACGGACTAAAAATTAAGGGGTGGCCTAAGTCATCATATTTTGATATCTTGGAAAGGGGGTGGCGCACACATGTTTTCGCAGTCTCTTGAGGGTATCTTAATCCTATCTCTTCCGATCTTTTTTCAGGTGTCTTCCGGGTGTTCGGTGAACTGCGTGTCGTAAAGATTACATGACTTAGGTCACTTTCATACAGTTGTTCTTATGTCATTGGGCCCCCTTGGGCCTAAGTCATCTGCCTAGAATATATATCATTATAATATACCCCTAATGATAATAGCTAATGTCTAATGTTATATCATCATCGTAATAGTCCTATTGTGAATCTATGAATATCTTCCTGATCTATAGGATAAGTATCTATGATAACAAGATTGATTTTACCCGCTACTAATCTATGCAACATATCGTTTTAAATAAGATCATCATATTCCCCAGCAACCGTCCTCCAGTTGCAAGCGTACCGACTCCAAGACCAAGTGATGCTCGTGTTGGAGGCTCTGCGCCTGCGAAAGCTGAGGGAAAACCCACGTGTTGCGAAAAAATGTAGGATTTTACCAGCAAAAACGGTGATTTTGTGGGATTTAATGGGATTTAGATAGCTAGGTCTAGGTTGACGGGTTGACGTAGATAACTTGCTTCACGGTTGGGTTTATGGGGGATGTAACAATGTATTCATGATGTATTCATGGGCTAACCAACCAACAGAGCTGGGGGGCCTTCAGCATGGCCAGCATGGGATGTATGTGGATGATCATACCTAGTGAAATGACAGTGTCAGGGAAGACCATGGAATTACCAACTCTGGTAAACTAACATAACTATGGAAAGATCCACTATTTTTAATGGGAAAACTCACTATAAATGGCCATTTTCAATAGCTATGTTAGTTTACCAGAGGGTAAAAAAAACACCATAACATTTGGGTCTCCAAACACATTTGAAAATAACCTCAGCAGATTGCATCAAGTTGCTGATTTTGTTTTTTTAGGCACCGTCCAACTTGGGTCAAGTTGCTCGAAACTTGGTCGTTTTAGTCACGGTGATTCAAGGACCCAAACAACGTTCTGTTGTTGCAGTTCTGTTCCTGATGGAATTCTATCAAAATCCCATCATTTTACATGGAAGTAAACATTAGAATAGCCATGATAATGATAGATACTGTACTAAAAATAACAATAACAATAACTATTAGCATCATCATGTGGTTTGCTTTTGTTACAGATTCCACCATGAAAAGTAAAAAAAGTAAAAGAACGAAATACGAAATGGTTGATGACGATGATTTTCATCATGATTATGTGCTTGGTGAATGATTCTGAAAGTGCTAGAATGAGTCATTACCATTGTGATCATAATAATGATATGGGATCATTCCATGAAATAATCATCATAATAATCATAACAATACCATCTGGTTATTTACCACAGCCATGGAAAATCACCATTTTAATAGGTAAACCATCTATAAATGGGCCATGTTCCATGGCTATGTTAAATAACCAGAGGGTAATCATTGCCATCCATAAAACCATGAGTCAAAACGTTGATCCTCATTATTGATCATAAAGCCATATGGAAAGTATTTCACCATCATCCATAAAATAATCGTCACCATCATAATCATCATAATAATCATTACCATCCATCACCAATACTACCATGATCAATGATCATTGACCAACCAGAATAATCCAAAACATTACCCTCTGGTAATTTAACATAGCTATTGAAAATGGCCATTAATAGTGGATTGTCCCATTAAAAATGGTGGATCTTTCCATAGTTATGTTAGTTTACCAGAGGGTATGCGTTGATCATTCCCTTTTCAAAACACTCAAAATCGACTCTCCACCCATTTACCAAACCGCTCCTTGGTGGCCACTGCCAAGCCCAGTCGCTGCTCATGACGCAGCTCCACACAGTGCTTCAGTAGCCTCCGTTGCGATGGGGATTTCAGCGGCAAACATGTGGGGATTTCACCCAAAGATTGGGGAAATGGCCAACAGAACTTGGGAATTGGAGCACCAAAATGCTGGGGAAATCTGCAGAAAATACATTTCAAATCACTAGAATAATCTCAAGTAAGATGGGAAAGCCCGCTTTCCAGTGGATCGAAGAGCAACAAAGAACCAGGATTCAACCACCAAACATTGGGATTTCAGTGATTCAAACACTATGGGGAAACTAAGGAAAATGCTACAAAAGTGATATACAAACATTGGGATCAGGAACTATGGTAACTATGACAAAGAATGATTCCAACTAAGGCTTACTAAGGAAAAGATATTCACAACCACATGTTTTTTCACCATTTTTCGATCGCCGAGGCACTTGCCAAAGGCCCAGCTCAACGACAAAATCCCAGCACCACGTACCACCTGATCCGACTCGACTTCACGGTGATGCCATGGTGATTTCAACCAAAAAAAATATGGGAATTGATGATTCCAGACCAATATATATATATATATAAATGGTCAGTAAATGGTCAGTAAATGGATAGTAAATGGATAGTAAACTGCTTCACATCAAGTTCTAGACCAATCTGATCTTTTCTACTTCTTAGTCACTAACGATGGATGGTCCTTTCGGGGAAATCTACCAAGATGTTGGATTCATTGCCATCAAAAACTGCAATTATGTGATCCGTTTGGAGCAAGGCAAAATTGGAATATGTCGAAAAAACAAAGAAACACATACCCTCTGGTTATGTCAAAATAGCTATTGAAAATGACCATAGAAATAGTGGATTTTCCCATCAAAAATGGTGGATCTTTCCATAGTTATGTTAAATTACCAGAGGGTAAGTTTGGAGTTTGGACCCCCCAAAATCGTTTTTTGGAATCTGCTCGCCGCGCCTGCGCAAGCCAGCGAGGCTGTGCCTGCCGAAGGTGAACATCTCCAAAAACCGAGGATTGCCCAACCAAGCACCAAGCAGTAGATGTGTCCTTCAAAGAATGGCAAATGACCACTTCCTGTTTTACTTCAAGTATATTCAAGTATATCAATGTGTATTCTATACGATTTTGAATCTATTTGAGACATATTGAAGCACCCTACCATCTGGTTATGACTAACATAGTCATGGAAAATGGCCCATAGAAATAGATGGTTTACCTATGAATAGCATGGTGGATCTTTCCATGGCAAACTGTTAGTCATAACCAGATGGTAAATATGAGTTTTACTGCCAGGAACCTACCGGAACGGCACCATCATTGGACCCACAGCGACTGGTTGTCATCGCCTCCGCACATCTGGCCGCCAGACGTTGGTGAGCCACTTCCTGGAGTCATTCTGAAGTATGTAAATAGATATACTGCATGCCTAATGTATAATAGATATTATATATACTGTGTATATATCTACATATTGGGTATGTCTATATACCGTGTATGTATATATATATATATGTATGTATGTATGTATGTATGTATGTATGTATGTATGTATGTATGTATGTATGTATGTATGTATGTATTACATATACACACATATATCATATATCTATATAGTCATCCTGAAAGAAAGAGACAACGATTGAACATATGGGTATGTGTCAAAACCATGGTGTGGCCCTCTTCGCACATCAACGAATTTGTGGGTGTTTGATCTTGCCCCAACAGCCATATGGACCAATGGGTTCCGTCAATTTGCATGGGACTGTCTCAAAATTTGAAACCCCCATTCCATCCCGCATGGTTCCATCATGTTTGTCCCATCAAATGCTTAAAAAAAGTGGGTCTCACTGTCTCACAGCCCGCTACGTCTGGCTGGTTATCTCATTGGTTCCCACAACTTGCAACATCTTGATATATAACGGGCATCGTTTATCTCATTTATTTAAATAAAATGCGACGTATTCACATATATATATATAACTTGTATTCTTTATCTCATTTATAAACAGCTTGCAACATCTTGTGTATATTATATATATATATATATATTCATTTATACCTAAGATATCCTAGATATGGGACTTCTCTAAAAATGGGGCCATCCCAAATTTGATGGTTAAGTCCCCTTATTTCAATGGCCACAATGGCGGCCCGCCTTACCCTTGGCACGCTTGGCCGCTTCCGAGGCTTCCGCCGCCCAGGCATCCGCTGCGGCCTTGGCCTGGCTGGAAGTGGGGGAATCAAACCTGGCTGGAGGTCAATGGAAAAAAGAACTGTAAAATCTGTAAAATCTGGATGACAATGGGATTACAATGAGATCACGGTATACTCAGTAATTCAACGTGGCTGGAAAATCCCAGGTAGTGTGTCAATGATTTTCCCAGCGAACTGAACCTCCATTTAGTGCGTGCGTTTTCCAGCCACGTTTGATGACACCGGAGGCTATCTTTGGGGTTCAAAAGTTCAATGCTAAAAAAAATGATCAAACTTTAGGGCTCATAAACTTTGGGGGTTCAACAGCGTCACTTTGGGGTTTTAACTTTGGGAGGGTTAAGTCAAGCTCTTGAACTCAGCAAACCTGTGGGATTTGGGATCTCCGAACCATCCTAACCATCACAAGTCATGCCTTCTCTAATGGAGTGTTTGAGATCTGCAAACTTCCAAATGATGCGAAAGAAATTCTGGATTCATCCAACTAGAAGAGTGATTGTAATTACCCAACAATCCTCCCCAAAAAAAGGACTGTCAGCATCCAAAGTACACCAAAAAGGCATCCATTTTGATCAAAAATGGAATGGATGAGAACTAGAGGAATGTAATGATTCAACCAAACTGATCTGGCACGGCCACCTGTCAGCAACAAGAACTTGACCGTCATTTTTTTCGTACCACAAGATGGGAAATACCCCATTCTTAGTTCTTTTCCCATTAATGGCCCCATTTATGGTGGAAATTTCAATTGCCACGTTTGATTAGAGGGTGATTCTACTTCTCAAAAATCACCGGCCAAATGCTGCTGCCAAGTCATGTTCAACAAAGGGACCCCCAGGTCCATCACACGAAACTGGATGGATTCCCTAGCTGAACTACCATGGTTTGGTCGAATAACCCTCATTGTCATAACACCATTCGATGGCTCGGGGAAAAAAACATATACATATACATATACATATACACATACACATACACATACACATACACATACATATACATATACATATACATATACATATAGTATATAGTTCATTCATGTTCCTCAAGTCATCAAGTGAGAACCACATGGATTTTCCAACAATCCTCACAAACTGGTGACCCCCCATCGATGTGAACATTGATTTACCCAAAAAAAACTAAGTCGATATATTTACCAAAACCCAACCGAGATTGGAGTTATGTCAGTTACGTTCCAATTTAGCCCACCAAGTCCCATGAAATCCCCATCAATTTGCATTAAATCACCATTGAATCACCATGATTTCACCATTTTTCACGAAAAATCCTCCGTTTCGAAACGCGTTTCGAAACGCGGAGCGCCTCTGAGGCTTGCTGCAAGGCCTGCTGCAGCCGCTGCTCGGTGAGTTGCAAGGCCTCCTGGCTGGCCTTGCTCTTGGCCTGGCGACGGGACGGAGCGTGGGATATATGTTTCGGGATCCCATATTATATATAGAGAAGATAGAGATAGAGATAGAGATATAGATATATATATACATATATATGAGCCCGGTCCCCGGACCCCCACACCCCCCACCCCCCCAAAACCTAGTATTTGCATGTTTTTTGCACATATACATACACATATACACATATACACATATATACTCCCCTTTCCACCCCTCCAACCTCGCATCTCTACGTTATTTGCAGCACTTGAGAGCCACGACCTCGTCAACGGACCTTGTCTAGCGGTATATTTCTATCATAACCTTTTTTTCGAACCGCCTATAGCGTGCCTCGCACATGGTTTACAACATATTTGCTACCTATGGATTACGCAAAGCTTACCTATGCAAACCTAGACATATGTACAGTAGAAAAACAATAAATAAATAAATAAATAATAAATAAATAAATATATATATGCACATTCTAGATACTACAGATTGATATCTTGATCTTGTATCTATCACATATTTCGTTTACATTGTACATACTGTACACGTATATATATATATATACATAAACTCTAGATATACAGCGTGTATTGCTGTCGATATTCAATATACCACATATACTATGTAAAATTTATTCAACGAACATATTAACCTATATTGTATATATTACATCTACTGTGGATACAGTACATGTGGCATATACTATCTATATTCTATCAAAAACCACATATACGATGTATATATATATATATGTTCATATATATATATGTCAAATATATATATATTATAATATATACATATAGATTGCATATATTCTATTTATATCTTACATATTATATATATGTTTATATATATATATACACTACACATACACTCTATATTACATATAGTATATCCATTCTAATTATCGATACATATGCATTATATGCACTATAAAGACTACATACACCATGGCTTGGCTGCTGAGAAAACCCCCCTCCCCTGCCACAGGGGGGGGGGAACCATCTGGCTGGGTGGGGGGGGGTGTGGGGGTCCCTGCTCATATATATATATAGAGTGTTCATGTGTATGTATACAGAGATAAACTGGATAGAGTAAGAGATGGAGATATTTGGAAATAGGAGCGAACTAGAGGTAGAATAGGAAGCCCTAAATAATGTAATGACAAACATATTGTTGATACTTACAACTTCATCTATACCAGGGTTTGTCTGGAAACTGCTATTTATTATAGAAATTGCGCTATGCAAAATGATGATAACTGGATCTTGGTATACCCACTTTATGGACAAACGCGAAAAATTGGGACACGCTTGGGATGTGATATGACCCAATGCATATAAGGAGAGCCCAATATGTATATCTGTATTTATTTATATATATCTATCTATCTATCTATCTATCTATCTATCTGTATACATAATATATATATATATATATGTGGGTATATATATATATATGTATATATATATAGCTGGACCCATGTATATATTGGGGATCTGGTTTGCGCATATACTAATGTGGGAAGACGCTGAAAAATAGACCAATACCTGAATTGACCAGTGTTTTCTTCTCGTAAACCTCAACAACATCATGGTGGTTCCTGTGGTATAATTGAGCCAAATAACTCGGGAAACCCTGCAAAAAGAAGCAAATGAGCAGTGGAGATATGATCAGTCAATCGCAAGCTCCAACGCCCGATAGAAACCATCCCAAAGCGCAGTTCTTCTGAAATTGGGTATTTTCTGTAACCCCCAATATCACATATAACTCATATAACCCCAATTGATTTTATAAACAATTGTGTTTGTCATAATTGTTTATATGACCCTCAGTCGTGGTTGGTTAGTGGGATGGTGAACATGGCACCAACTTAACCACCTCAACAAAGAGGTGAACCAATCTGAGAAAGTATGGTGAACATTTGCAGGCATCTGGGTACCACCCCGGAGCCATCCATATATATATATATACATATATATATATATTCGTATTAACGTGTCTCTATTACGATTGGAATGTTGATTAGTAGCAGTATTTTAAGTATATACGATCATTAGACTTACATATTCGATGTCATTGGTTGATCACTATATTAATGACCACTATTATTATAGTACACTAATTATCGTTATCAGTTAATAGCAATACAATAACTTGACATGTATTGTCATCATCACTTAGTGAGTATGATTAAAATCTAATTGCTATAATCTGCCCTATTGGAGAGTAGCAACTCAAAAACAAGAGGTAGAAGTGTGTATGTATATATATGTGTGTTATTATATATACATGTCATCACTATGCTATTTTCATGATGCTTTGGAATCTTTAGTGTAACTAATAACCCCTTTAAAAAGATAGGTGCGTGCTTCCAGGATGTGATGTTTACTCCATAATTTCGAGTAGTTTCCAAGGTATTTTCCGCATCTTTTTGGGGGGTGCTATATACTCCATATACTGAGGATGGTTGCGAAATCCTGCACCAGGCAGGGTAGATGATTTCCGTTATAATCCCATAAAACCATGACTTACCAACTGGAAAAAGGAGTTCGCAAAACCATCCACTGGATTTCACTCTTTATTTAAACAAATGGGGATAGAACTGGATAATATTTCTGGATGGGGATATCACTGGATACTCTGTATATATATATATATAATGCAGAGTAACCATCAATATGTTTCACTTTATTGGATATCTCATATATGGAGAATAGCCATCAATATATATCTGGTTGGTGGTTTCAACCCCTCTGAAAAATATTACTGGTTATCACTGGTTATCGGACAGCGATGGGGTAGTTGACACGTCCCCACCGCCCAGCCAATCCATGCCGCAGTCTAACCCGCATTTAGCGGGGTGAAAGTTGCCAGGTCGCCACCTGAAGCCAGCTGCTTGCCCGCGCAGCGGAAGATGTGATCATCCAACCTGCGGAGCCATTCCACTGGGTACCTAAGCCGGTAACAAACCAGCCAGTTCGCCAGAGCTGAGCTCGAGGGACGAGTCATTTTGGTAAACAAAGGCACCTTCTGATACTTCATGTAAACTTGAAACATCATCAAAAATGGCTTCACTCGTCCCCCCCAAGCAAGTCTACCGCCTTCCGGAACTTTGTGTTCCTCGTCATACCATTTCTTCTTGAAGACCCACGGCCCTGGGTGCAAAGTGCACTGATAGAAATCCAAAAACAGCTGCAGTCCTGCCACGTATGTCAACTGACCTTGACCACCCATGACTACTGAGCCAATGGAACTCCACCATCTATGCAAAGCTTCAACGTTCTTACGTCCATGCCGCGCAAACATTTTCTCTGGCAAGTACCACACTGCTGGCGCCACCACTGCTGCGTCTGCTGGTGATTCAGGAACAGCACGTGGAACCCACTGTTTTGGTGCCTGGACTGCTTTTCGTGCGGTCAGCAAGTGAACCTGCAAAATGGCAGCATGCAACTTCCGGTGAAAAAATAGTGCATCCACCAAACCTTTGTGTGCAATCCAAAAGTCATCAGATCTGCGCTCATTCACCGCCAACGCCGCCTGGTCTACCAGGCAGTTGTGCCAGTACACCCAAGCCTCAAGTGGATCCGTTGCCCTGGAAACATCCCCATGTGATACGACTTTGATGATCTGCACCGCATCACTCGGGGCATCGCGCAAAAGGTCCTGCAGTTGCAGCCACAAATCAGAATGAGATCGATTGATCCGCACTGCTTTTCCATGTTGGAGACGTCGTACACCTCGTACTACCGCCAAACAGTCCGACCACAACCGCACCTGCAAATTACGACCCAATGCCCAACGCACCGCTTCCACCACAGCTGTGAGCTCGGCCCTGAAGGCTGACTGGATAAGACCTGAGACATGACCTCCTAGGACAAGTTGATGTGGCAACGTGCCTGGACCACCTGTCGCACACGTCACAGCCCAGGCCGCGTACCTGAGTTTTGGTTCTCTCGGCCACGCAGCTGTTCCATCCACAAAAAGGTCAATTATCCCCCCGCTGACTGCTGGATGAACTGGTGACTCCTGACAGACAAAGGTGGGACTCAAAAGGAATTGAGACAAACACTTCCATTCCGGGAGAACCACAGGCCAACCATGGAGCGACAGCCACGCAGGCAGAGACGGAATGATGGCACGCTGATCCTCAGAGAGATGGGTACGGCAGTCGGCGAAGTGGGCACAAGTCCAAGCCCGGTGATAAAAGCCATCCTTCTGCTGACACCATGGACATGTGTCATCAACCCCAGCTTGAAATTTGGCCCTCCCATTCTGAGTATAAAGCGTTCCATCAAGGTGACACCTTAAAAAGGCCAAATCCAGGTCTCCAAACTTGCGCAAGGCTCTGTGCAACTCAAACAGGTCCATTTGATCAATCCCTTCAAAAGAAGAGCGGTGACCGACTGCTGCTTGCAAAACTGTGCCCCACCCCAGACTCATACGCAGGTAAACCTCATCCCAACCGGTATGCAGAAGGCTGAATGTTCCCAGCCCATCTTGAACAAGCCCATTGCCTCCAACTTTCCATCCCAAACGTGCAACTCGATCAGCCAGGATTGCAGTAGGGCCATTGGCAGGAAGTCCAGACGGGTCAGAGGAAAACAAGGCCAAAAACCCTTCAACCCGTTCTAAGCCCCCAAGTTCTCTGGCATCACGGAAGGTCTGAGTGATGACCCACGCCTCTGGATCACCTTGCAAGTTGGACAGGATGAGATGCAAGCAAGGGTTGGCCCCCTTGCGCTCAACACGCAGGCCACGCATTGCTCCTGATCTGACCTTCTTGTAGTGCCCACCTCCTACATGCACCACTGAACAAGCATGAAACGCCCGAGGCCACCCCATCAAGCGGACCGCCAAGTGCTTGGCTTTGTAGGGCGCCAAACTGGCTCGAAGCTTGGTCCAAACATCCGGCAACGTTTGAAGTCTCTTCTGCAAAATGGAGTTCCAGGAGTGCTTGGTGTAGTTTTGGTGCGCTCCCAACACTCTCGCTATGAAGGCTACTTCCAGCTCACCCTCTCGGAACTGCTTTCGGGCAGCTGCTGCTGTACTCCACAACTTGGTTTTACGCAAGTCAAGAGTGAGGTCAAGACACCTGGTGAACTCCAACACTGACTCCCAAACTTGTCCAAGCTCCCGAAAATCCCCAAACATGACACTCCAATCATCTATGAAGGCCTGAAGAGATGGAGAAGGAGTCAGTTGCTGCAACCAAACATCCAACAACCAGTCGATGACAACCATTCCAAAAACGGACAGCGCACAGCCCTCCGGAAGTCCACAGAGGGAAAAAATTGCCTCACCGGTAGAACGTCTGATTCTGAAACGCCTGGCCTGCCCTGAAACAAAACCAACCCAAGCACGCAAGACATGCTCTGGAAAACCCAGTTGATGAAGGACACACCACGGCGGCATTCTTGGAATCGCATTAAAACATTTTTGGATATCCATCTGAAGTCCATTCAGTTCACTATCATGCAAATGCGCCAACTCCAATGCCTGGGCTTCCGTGTACCAAATCACCTTGGCTTGTCGTCCAGGGACCCCACCTTGGACACTACTTGGAACAACTCGTGTGATGTTCTGCAGGGCCTCTCGGGCACGTTCTGAAGACCAAATGCGATACAGTAAACTGTACACAGTAACCGGTCGAAAAGAGTCCACCTGCTGTGCTGTTTCAACTTTGGCAAGACTTGTTACAAAACCAGTAGCTAACTGCTGAGGCCAAGGCTGCCCTGCTTCCATGGCTTGAAACAAGGCGACAAAAGCTGAGTGTGACTGTGCCGGGAGTGCCGCCAAGTCCAATTGCGACACCCCATCCGGCCCTTTGGCGGCTTTGGGTTTCTTTCGTTTCACTGCTGCAGCAAAGCGCTCGGTGGTCCAAGGCGCAACCACCCATTGGATTGGCTGAAAGTGCCGACGTGCAAAAGCAAAAATTTGTTCCCATTGGCCATCTGCTACATGTGACATCTTATTCCACCTAGGTTTCCATGTGTCTCTGAATCTGGCCAGGATGGCCTGATCATCCATGATGGCCCGCTGCTGGGAGACAAACATACCAGGTCCAACTCCGGTAACATCTTCAACCCATAGTTGATCATGTTCCGCATGCACAACCTCAAGCACCTTCCCACCTGCGACCACTGGCACATCTGGAAGCAACTGGACAGGGGAAACAAGGACAATAGAGGAATCCTCCTCCCGCACCTCTTCAATGCCAACCTCCACCTGGTCCAGCAAAGTATCTGCCTGTGGCAACGGCTCTGCTTTGCAGTCTTGGAAAACATAGTTGAGATTCTCTGCTCGCCTCTGCTTGGCAAGTCTGTAGCGTGTTTGAGCAAGCTGTCCCTCATACGTGCCTACAAACTTTTGAAAAATCTCAAACATCTTCTGGACCACTTCCGCCGATGGACACAGAACCGGCAACACCTCCGGCAAAACTGGTGACAGGTCATGTTTATGCCACCAAATTCCAAAACCCTCCGGGAAACCAACTGCGTTGCGTATAGCTCTCCAAGTCGCATGTCTGTTCTCATTGGCATTCCAACTGGCGGCCTCACAGGAAAGCTGCTGCTTCAAAGCTTGCAGGCGGCGAAGCTGTTTGAAATACCTAGCATGCTGAAGACTCACCCCCATGAAGCTCGGCTGGACTTCACCAACCCTGCCTTTCCTACACGGTGCTAAGCGGTGGACTTGCTTCTTTGACTCCAAGGTTTGGGCCCTCCCACACTGCAAAGGTCTGATGCGGACTCCATGCAAGGCTTGCCAACTGCTGGCTTGGGTCTCCAGTTGGCTCCACAAGTGAGCATAAGCAACCGTGGTGTCTTGGCTGGCATCCCACTGGACTTGGCACGTCCATTCTGCAGGCCATGCAAACGCAGCAGGCATGTACCATTCATCACTAACCATGCCGGTACCCCAGTTTCTGAACTTTGCAACAACAGCCGCATGATCGGCCCAATGGTCAAATTGCACCTCGACCCCAAGCAATTGAAATTGCAACTCCGGAGAAATCCACATGTGATCAATGCGCTTGGAGCCTCGGCTGGTTCTGGAAACACTTTGCCCCCATTGAAAAGCCGCACAATCCTGCACCTCACGGAAACCCAAATCATGAAGTCTTTGCAGTTGGCTCAGCTCTTCTGAAGCATAGTTGAAATCCCCCGCGATGATGCGGGGACCCTGGCTTTGCACAGCCACGATCTATGACTGCATCCAAAAGACACTCCGTTTGAAACTTGGCTTGCTTGTGACTCGCATTACATGGGACTCCATACAGCAAGCCAACTGTGATCCAAACTCCATGCAAAGCTACTCCGGCAACTTGCAACCTGGCTGTGGCATACAGCTCTTCGTCAAAACTATGCGGCAAAGCCCTGGCAGGAAACTTGGAAAGCAACATGACCCCTGAATGGCATCCTGTGTCTGTGGCCCCTCTAACTGGACAAGGAGCTCCTGGTATAGCGTATTTCCATGGTGCATGCAACGCTCGAAGGCCTCTTTGGAATTTGGACCACCCCAACTTCGACAATTGGGTTTCTGAGACTCCCCAAACATGCCCCTCCATCGCAACCACTTGATCCAGTTTATTGTTCAAACCAGACGGATTACAGATGCCAAAAGTCCATGCATTCTGCCCTGCTTCAGGCCCTGGATGGGCTGCTTCTCCAACTCGCAGCATACAAAGGAAACCAAAAAACCACAACCAACGCACAGAACCAAACCGACTGAAACCCTTGGCTGAAACACAACGGCCGAGGCCCACCTGACCGACAAAATTCCAAGTCCAATCGGTTACAAATCCATTCACAGGTGGCTGCACTCTGCAAATTTGGATCTGCCACAAAACCACTCGCAAAACACCAAGTACACAAACGAAAAAACCGACTCCTGCAAACCCCCACTGGCTACAAATCCATGCTAACATCCCACACCAAAGACTTCCCATAAGCAATACCCAATCCCAGCTGGAAGTCAAAGCCAAGACCGGGCACCCTCATTCAGGCTTGTGTCTCTTGGCCAGCAAGCTCTCGAACTGCGACATTTAGCGGGAGAACATTCCATCTAGCATGGTTTGTTGGTGGCTGACCTGTTGTTTGAACTGCTCATGGAAAGATTCCTGAAACGTGTGCAGCTGGGCCGCTTGTGCGGCAATGGCTTGCTCAAAGTGAGCTCCCTGGTGGTTTAACTGCCCCTGCAGCTCTTGGATCTGCGCTGACTGGTCACTGGCTGTTTGCTGCACCACCTGCTTCAGCTGGCTTGTGTGAGCATGCAACTCCGACACCTGTTGCTCAAGCTGCTTTACACGGTCTTGGGTCGCCCCATCTGAATCCACCTCCATGGTCGGTTTGGGCAACTGCGCCAACACTTCCTGCACCACTCTGCTCTCAAGGTCTTCCATGGGACTACCAATCACAAAATTTTGCAGCTGCTTGACCGGCTTCTGTGGGCCTTTGGCCCAAGGGTCGTTGAGTTGCAGTTCATCCACTCCATCCCTAGACACAATCGCCTTGGTGGTGGTGGTTGCGACTACCCTAGGCGCTGGCTGCGCTGCTTCTTCTGGCTGTGCATCCTGAGTGACCAAAACATCACCATGTGCCATGCGAAAAACCTTGGTGGGTGGCTCTTCTACCGACTGAACCTTGTAGAGCAACCCTTCAACATGCAGACCAGCAGTGACAGGCTGTACCGGTCTGGCAACCCATCCACATTCTTTCAAGGCCGTGGCTACTGAGGACATAAGGGTTCCCCACGGAAATGGACCTACCAACCAGGCTTGTTTCTTGCCAGCAGGCAAATAGGTCATACCCGGCTTTGTCTTGGCAAAAACAGCTGCAGCATGTTCCGTGCGGCACCTCAGTCCAAGCTTATGACCCAACCTGGCAAGCCCGCACACCTCTGGGATGGTTTGGCGCTGAACTGTCAATTGCTCAAGTGCGGCTTTGGGAAACCAGATGACCTGGTACAGCTCACTTGGACGTCGGCCATCAACACTTTTGGGTTCAAGGAAGATCCCTGCAAAACCACTAAACTCCTGCACAATGTGTTGAAGCACCTCTGGAATGCGCATGTTGACCACAAAAACCTCAGCATGAGTTGGGGCGCATGCCACAAAGTTCAGCTTCAACCACTGCTTGCTCCAAACTTCAACTACAGGTCCATCGATGGGGTACTGAGGCGATGAGTGCCAACTTTCACAACCCAGACACTCAGCATCAGGACAAACCTGCAGTGGCGGGACCAGGTCAAAAATGTGCCGCAAAGGATGCGCCACAACTTCCTGCCAATCAACCTGGGTGAGGTCACGATAAATCATGGCCTTCACGACGCATGTGGGGACCGACTTGACTGCAAAGTCCACTTGTGCTGGAACTCTTTCGACCACAACCGCCCCCATTTGGACAAGACACGCATCAACAAGCAACGGCTCTGAATTGGCGGCACACACCAAAGGCACACGCACTGCCTCGGCTGCAAAACCTGACACCATTGCCGGGCTTCCATCCAAAAGCAAAAAACCCAAAGCACCTGTGGACAAGGTCTTGCCTGCTTGCAGGTAAGGTTTGGCAACAGTCATGGTAGTGAGGACAACCCCCGAAACCCCAACTGACAGGCCAGTCAGTGCAACCTGAGACAAGTGCTGACCACACTTACTCTGAAAGACCCCAGAGTCAAGGCGCAACATCATTGGGTCAAGCGTCATGGACACCCCCTGGCTTCCCTTTGCCCTTCCCTTTAGATTGCTTGTGGCGCTTGGAGCCAATCTGCTTGTCTGCCCGCTGGGCAATGGTTTTCTGGAGTTCCGAGGGACGAATCAAAACAAGGGGAGGCCGCTTCTGATTGGCATGCCATTTCAACTCCTGCCAAGGATTCCCAGTTTGAACAACTTTGGCAATGATCTCATCCCCCAATTCCCGCCTGATCAAATCAACTCTGGCGGTCACTTCATCATGTGCAACCCCGTGTTTCTGCAGCATGTCCCCTAAAAGTCCAAGGGGTTCAAGTCCAAGTGCTGCCAATCGAGGTCGGTGACAAGGGGAGGACAAACCAGCCACAAAAAGCACACGGAAAGTACCTGCTGCACATTCCAACTGTTCCTGTGACACCACCAAGTCAGAACCCCACAGCAAGTGACGCACAAAACTGAGAACCAAGGCTCCACAGTGACCCGTAGGGACAAAAGACAAGGCCGTGTTCTTCCATGGTTGGTGGGCTCCAGTTCTGTGCACTCCTACAATACTGCTCAAAAAGTTGAAAGCTGCATGCTGAGAATCTGGCACCCCACAGGTGAAAAGCTTCGTGCTCTCGGAATCCAACCGCCACAGGACAGGATACCAGTGGTTGTCCACTGCTACTGCAGAGATCACCGTAGCTACCGCCCCCAACTTCCCAATCAACTCAGACCATGTCTTGCTATGACTGTCCACCACCAAACCCGAAAGCAAAAGTGGATCCCACACATGAACAAACTGATCAGGGCCAGTGTTGAGTGCCACATAATTCAGCCCTGCCAAAAGTTCATCATCGCCCCAAATGGGCCCTTGACGCCCCAAAACCTGTTCTCTGTCCTCCTTGCTGATAGTCTGCTGTCGTTCCTGCAGCAGGGCATTCACCGTAGAAACTGGGTACACATTCCAGTCAACTCCAACCTCCGAAACCGGGGACCTGGAAACCTGTGACGGTGTTTTAAGGGCAAAATCCAAAATCCAACCCTGCTGGAGGGGCAAATCCAAATCCATACCCACTCCAGCCACCGTAACCTCAACCTCTGCGGCAAATCCACCCAAGGTTCTTTCTGCTTGGAGCAGACTGGCAACTGTTGCACCTTCTTGGAAACCAACCTCATGACATACCCCAGTTTGTTCCCATCTGACAGTGACAGTGGAGGACTGGTCAGGCATTGTGGGCGCAACTGCGTCCTCTTCAACAGCAGGTGACATGTGGACATCAGACAGTGGGACCGTTGTGGACACTGCTTCTGGGGACACCGACACTGGCCATTTACCACGACAGACCTCTTGAACTTCCTGGGCATATTGCTGCAAAACTTCGGAAGGCTGAACAGCAGGCAGACCTAGGAAAACATCCAAATGCTGACGGACATGTGCAAGAACCCAGACTGCCATGAGAGGTGCAACACACTGACCAAGACCGGCCATAGACAATCTGAGATTTGGTCCAAAATCGATTCCAGGAACTCCCCCCAACAACGCCCACATCTCATCCGGATGCCAGTATCTGCAGTGCTCCATCTGCACGTTGCAATGCAGTTGGAATGTCCCCAATGGAATCAGGGTGCCTACCAAACCTCGGGTCTTGAGACGCTCCTCACTCAGGGGCGGCCGACACCCACAAGCACAGTGATACATCTGGTTGCCGACAGAGTGAAGCAAGGTGGCTGCCTTGGCTTCCAGGTCAACATACTGTCTACTGACCCCGCCCGCTGCATATGCATGATATTTGCTGAGTTCATACAGGTTCAAGGCCACCTGCTGCAAATCTTCTGGCGACAAAGACGGACAGACAGCAAAGAGATCACGGATGCGGTCACACAAGCCAATCTTGGGCATTGGTGGTATCTGCAGCGGAGACATGATCGGCGCCACCAAAACCCCAAACCATCTATCTCTACGACTACACCAACTGTCTTGAAGACTGAGGACAACTTGGCTCAACTTGTAACCCGTCAAACTGGTGAAATGCCGAAGGGCACCTTGAAAGCCGGCATCTTGCATAACCCCTGGAACACATTCAATGGCTATCACCACCGCTTGCAACAACCAACATGTAGACAAGGCTTTGGGCAAAGACGTGGACCTGACATCTTGCATGCCTTTTTGGTCTCCCATGCGACTGAACGCTTGGCAATGCACCCCTGCGAGGGCGACACAATGAAAAAATCCAGCTTCCGCTAATTGCTTCAAGGTGCTTGTGGAATTGATGTCTCCATGGATGAACTTGGCCGTGGGACCATGCAGCTTACTGTACAAAGCACTCCATACTGGGTTTTCATCAATCCCTACAACATCAACCAACTTGACACGGGGGGCAACGCTGGAAAAAGCACCAAGACCAGAACACAGCTCGACCACATGCGACACATCATCAACCTGACAGCTGGGAATTGGGACTGCAACTGCCTGGGCATCGACTTGCAAGACCACTGGACTGACAGACGTCACCAATCCATCCAACAGACAGAGGGTAGATTCTGACGGGATTGCCCCCTGTACCCAAACTCTCGTAGCACCACGGTCGACCGATTGAAAAAGGTGAGTGGTATCCACCCCTTTGAGGTTCCTACACACCAGGTTCAGCACAGCATGGATTCTTTGCCCCATCTGTAAACCATTCCAATTTGGAAGACCATCCATGGCACCCAAAGTTACACAACCCTCAGGAACTTAGTTAGCACAGATCCACCACCTGGAAGGTGTCCTGAGCCGGATCTCTGAAAAATATTAGTCAGTTGGGATGATTATTCCCCATATATAGAAAAAAAGGTTCCAAACCACCAATCAGATATATATATATATATTACTGGAGGGTATATCCACCAGCCCATGGCTCAACTCCTCCTCTCCCACGTGCTGCACCTCAGCCGCCTGCCGTGCATGCACGGCCACTTCGGCCTGCTGCGCCACCGAGGAGGCACGCGCCTTCCGTGACGTTATGGGATGAAAATGGCCATGATTTTCTTATGGGATTTTGATATACATATGCACCATGTTTTATGGCATTTTCATGGTGACAATTTAAATATAATAGAAATAATATATAGATATATATCATCATATAATATGCATACTAGATACATACTACATACATATGATATACATATTGATAATCATTGATATATAATACTAAATGTAGAGGATGGATTCTGATGTGACATCTATGCGTGCATACACATCTCTACATGATTGGGCGAAATCATGTCCAACAACCATGAACCATTCGTGAACCACCTAATGCAGAATGGGATAGACACCCAAGTAACAGATTACTAGTGGGTAAGTACGAGAATCTACATGGCACTGAAATCCAGTAACAATAGGGATATTTTTGAGGTGTTCATCCAACTATCCTTGGAAGAAAAAACAGCAAAAAAGCTCCTGATGGGTATGATGATTGGATTCTCATCCAGTTGCAACTGGTGAAAGTTGGCATTTAGCGCAGTTTGGTTCTATTCCAGGGCCAGTGAAATTGATGTGAAGACAGGATCGATTCAGGAATGGCACCTAAATATGCGGTTCGGGAATCAAATATAAAGGACTTGTGCTTTTAAAAACAACAGTTTTCATGAGGAAGAGTAGCAACACACATAGATTCTCTATTATGGATGGAAAGTTTCAGAGGCTGGGCTTGGTTGGATGAGACATGTTGAGACCTGGAGCCCCGCTGGTGGTTGTGCACTTGAGCAAAATGAGATAAGAATGGGACATACATCCAAGTTAAGTAATTCATGATGAATGGATGACTATCTGACAATAACCATGTGACCAAAATCCCGCGGAATGAGCCAATGATCGGTTTTATTGGGGGGGTATACAGAAATATAGCCACTAACAATTATGACAAATCAGTGAAACATCAGTTTTCAACATGGGATTCCCATCAACGTAGATAAGATTCAGTTTATTGGATCATCATCATTTTTTCACTTGTGAAATTACCATTCCGGTTTTGGAACGGAACACGCAAAGATTGGGTCTGTGTCCAAAGTTGTTGTTTGCCCCTGGAACCACAGATAGACTGGGCCGGCATTGATCGTGGTAGAGCATCCCCACCGCACCACTGCGACCGTCCCCAACCAAAGACTGATGATTGCCAACCCAGAATATCTTCAAAAAATGATTGAATCCCCCAAAATATCACCAGTCAAATGCCCCATTCCACTCAAATTCCTCCGAAAACTTCCAAAAAAAAACCAGCTCCAAACTCCCACCATGGCCCAGCCCATGGCCCCATGGCCCCAAGGCCCCCCGCACCTCGGCCGCCTCCCGCGTCTCCTTGGCCTCCGCCAAGGCCTCCTGCAGCGTCTGGCGCCGCTGCTCCGCCTCCTTGGCCGCCTGGGACTCGGCCTGGGCCTCCGCCAAGGCCGCTTGCAGCTCCGCCTGGCACCGCCATCGGGGAATCTATGGCTATGGCCATTGTATATATCTCCGAAAAATGATATGATAGATCACGGGAATAGTTCCATATATCAATCATATCCTAGTTCGATATCTATCATATCCCATATCGATAGGGATTTTTGAAGATACCTATCATATATGATTGGTATCGAATGGGAATATCATGAGTTAATGTGATCAAGAACATGATATATAGGGGATGGTGATCCATCCCATTTTGTGGGAATCGATGTCCATAGTGGGTATGTAAACCCCTATTTAATGATTGATTGATAAACAGCATATTCATAAACTCAATATGGGCGCCTATTTGTTGTTTGGTTGGAATATTAGAAGATGTTGGTGATTCCCCCCGACAAAGGATGATTATACCCAAGAATTTCTTGGAATCGCTGATTCTAATGATGCCCATGAATCCATGGGCCCTTTCCATAGACCGGAACTTGACCACGGCGCATGTGATCAGAGTCTTTGAGAGTATAATCAACCAAAATTAAGGCGTAGAACGGTATAACTAGGAGTGGAAAGTAGAAGATGTTGAAAACCAGGTGATTGCTGTTTTTTCTGCAGAGTTTGCCTGCGGATGGTCATGAAGGTTTCTACCCGTTTCTGTCACAACCTTCAAACTCCAAAGCGATGTCACCCGTCTGGGTTTACCATGCTCAAGTTCTAGGTTGGCTCCCGACTTCATTAGCCGTACTCCAATCAAGCATAGGTTGAAAACACCATATCAACTACCCACTATCCATAGTTCCAAAAGAATAATCTGGTTGCGTGCCTGTGATGGCAATGCCTCAGGTAGAAGCATTGCTTGGGTAAATTCCCTTGTGGCCATGTTTGTTGGGTTGGTTGCAATTTGTGGTGCTTAGATGTCAAAGATTGTCGGTTAAACCCCTACTTGTGATTGCTTAAATCGCTACTTCGGTCTCCATCAAACCAACTAGCGCGGCAATGGCGGAAGTGGTGGGGCAATGGGTGGTTGCAATCCTTTTTGTGACAATGTAAGAGCCCTCGGCCCAAGTCTTTCCAGTAGTGGGGCTGTTTTTAACTGATGCCTGGGAGATCGTTAAACCATTGCTTGGTTTCCTCGTTGCGCGGTCCTTTCGTCAAAAAGGCATTTGATTGTTTTGCATCCCCGATGCAACTTGGGAAGAGGATCATGGCTACTCCTGGTCACGTGCTAGATGGGATCACCAATCACTGTGCCCTGCAGCCACTCAATGCCAGTGTGCTGGCAACCTTCAAAACTTTGCCCTGGCCCTGCATTTTGGGCGCCTGGTTCGCGACTTCATCCAGGTGGGTGACTATGTGCAACTTGCCTGTTGGCATCGCAGCTTTCTTGAAAGCAATGCATGACTTCAACCTCGACAGCACCTTTGGGGCGGCGCAGCCTGCAAGTCAGCCGCAAGGATGTTATGATTCGACAGACCCAGTTTGCAGTCCGCTGCCCAAAGATATGTTTGGATCGTGCAAGCAGGCCTTCAATGAGCTGCATGGGTCTGAGCCGGCTCAGAAACATGGCGGTAGCAAAGTTGGAGCGGCACAACCTTGCTGCAAAAGTGTTTCGAACATGGGTCACACTTCCAGTGTTTTTGGCCTATAGATTTTGGAAACCTGCGTGCAGCATCCCATCTCTCCACTTTTTCTTGATTTAAGCAGCCGATCAATTTAGATCTGCTTCAGTCACGTTGGTTCGCTAAACAGTATTAGCACCAACCACACTGGTTGGTCAATGGACCGGCGGGCGTGCCTGACAATAGCCATGCCTAGCCGCCTCTTTCCCTGCTGGAAACATCTGAAGTTTGTACCCTAGTGCCGTCCCACAGCTTGTGGCATACCGTGGAAGTTGGGTGGGGGCAAACTCCTGCACCCCTCTTTGAAATGTGTACAAAGCGACCTGTTGGACATTGAACCTTGTGCTGCACTGCCACCGCTGTGACGCACCACTCAGAAGGCGTCCAAGAGATATGTGACAAATGTAAAACCGACCCTGCTTCCACTGTAACCCTTCTGATTGTATTTCTTCCTGGGTGAAACCTAAGTCATCGTAAAACATGTTTTTCCGCCGTTTCCTGCACCCACTGGCTTCAAATTCTCCATTTTTACTGATCAAACTCCCATATTGCTGGGTCAAATCGACATGTTGTTTCCTTCAAATCCGACAAATGTCTTGGTGAAATCAACCCCAAACCCCACCAAAATCGGATTTACCCACTGAAAACCCTGCAAACGTTGACATTGAAGAGGATATTTCCCCACAACCGCCGTTATCACCCATGAAAAAATCGAGATCATAAAGACTCAGATTGATACCCAGAGGAAAGGAAAAAATGAAGCCTTACCAGCATTCACCGCAAATCAGCAGCAACTGTGGGAATTCATAAACCTACCATGGGGATGACTGAAATCCCACCCCACAAAACACCGCCGCGGGCCCGAGTCGCACCTCTGCTTCCTCCTTGGCCTGTGCCAAAACGCTGGCCTCCTCCTGAGCATTAGCTGCCTGAGCCTGGCGTTAAAATCAGGTTCTGTTATAGCTATAATGGTTGTGACTGTGACTATCATGGTTATATGATGATGACTATCAATAATAGCCAAAATGAATATCATGACTATCATGGTTACGGCTATGGTTATGGCTATGCTTTCATTGGATGATGGATGTTCCTAGGATTTTTGTCACTGATATTGTGCAGCCTGACTAGTATGTCCACTGAATTGCAGAGTCGATTGCAGTTGTTCCACTAGCATGCATCGGGCAAGACTTTGCAGCATGCTTAAAGGTCAAAAAGAATTATGTTCCATATTGTTGTTCGATAATTTACTCTAGGATGATATGTTTTTTTTTTCAGACAATTATGGTGATAGTGCTCACAATGTTTTGCCCATCATTGGGACACTGTAACCATTCTAGGATGGTTGTGCGGCGGTTAGAATGGCTAAACCATGACCATTATATTATGACCATTATAACTATAATTTTATCACCAAAAAATGGTGGTTTGACGGTAATTATTGTCAAATAGGATTAGAATAGTCATATAAGCAACAACCAATGGTGGTTATGATGATTTCATGGAGGGTTGTATTGAAGCCATATAACTAAAGAAGGATGATGCAATGCTTCAAATTGTCACGCCTGAAGTGTATCCACTGGTTTGTCCGATACAAGTTATACATATAGATAAAAATTGGTTTTGACTGATAAAAATTGGTTTTGACTGGTGAAATGTATCAAAATTATCCAATGGTTTATACTGTGTATATTGATATTGGTATTGACTGCTGAAATTGGTTTAGTGATCTACTTTACTAAGCCTAAGCAACCTGGTTGGTGGTTGAACCACAGGATTGGGGAGAGTTCGCAACAATAACAAGGGCCAGGGATAAGAATCTGGTGCAACCCATCAGGGCAAAACGCGAACTCGGAAACCAGTTACAAAATTGTTTGTGGCCAACCCCAAACGCCCCACAGAAAGAATTATTTGGCAAACTTGAGCACGAGTGTATTCCTTCATAATGGGTGAAATATCATCCATCCAACTACCATTCAACGAGTGTTGTTTACCCAAAGAAGTCCGGCTTCATCCACAAACCATTCATCAACTACAGTAACTTGTCTCCCCAAGTGTTTCCATGTTCAATTCAGCTACCATGTTTGAAAACAACATTTTGAGCAGGGGTCTAAATTTGTGAAGCTTCAAGGTGTGCTCATTGGGATAGTTTAAGGGAAATTGAGTAGGTTCCTTCCAAAATGTTGATCCAGAATCACTCATGAGAGTCGATGAGTTGCCTTTTTAATGATCGTGATTTTCTTAAAACATCTTGGAACAAAGATCGGGCCTCAGACGAAATTCCGTATGGGATAACGCAGTTTCCCCCCACGGTATGGTCAAAACCCTGGTACCCATAACTGGTTCACATGACAGCTGGTGTTGATGGATGTCTATCTCGCAATCATGAGACAATAGGCTTTTGACCCATCCCCATTTAGTAACGCTATATTCCCAAAATTGCTGGATATACCCCCACTTGCCTTGTTTATGATTTTGCGTTTCAAACCCTGGAGATGGGTTACTCCAATCATCCCTAACATATTTGAATAGATCAACATTTAAAAAAGAACGAAATGGAGTCAAAATGACCAACAAAAAAAATTGAAGACACCGAAAATCATCGAAATTCCATATCTCCCTGGATGAAACGCCCCAGGCACCAAGGTACCTCCGCTTCCTCCTTCCTCTTCAGCGCAGCCTTCGCTTCTGCGAGGGCAACTGCCACAGATGCCTGGAATCCATGCAGGCCCTTGGGCGGTGTCAGCTCCATGGCTGGGAAATCCCTGAACTAAATGGAGGTTTGGATGGAAAAATCATAGGAAATAGTGGAAAAATAATAGGAAATAGTGGAAAAATATGGGAAATCCATTGAAATCCTCTATCCATTGGGATTTTTTCATGGGAAATCATTTACAGAAACGGTGGAGTTTCCATTGCCATATTTCATGTTTTGATGGTATTTCCACAAGTTCGCAAACCCCAAGTCACTAAGTCAATGTTCCCACAGCAGCCGCAGCTGCCCAGTACCAGATCCCAAGAAGGGGGCCTTCCAAAACCTCCGGTTTCCTTCAAAGGTCGACTTAATGAACTGGTCAGATTTTCACCCCCACATCTTTGTACCCATCTATGCAATGTTTATGCCTTGGACGGATAAAGTCATCAGGTAGGCCACATACCCTACACCTACACCTACAATAGGTTTAGGAGTCTTGATATTCACCACAAATGTCGCTTTATCATCCATGGTCTTCCAATGTTTAAGGCCTGATGCCACTTTCTTAATTCGCCCAGATTGTTCTCAATCCAACTTGGTCTGGCAATGACAAAAGAATAATTTCTAGATGATGTTCCTATGTTTCCGTGTCTTAATCGGGATTTCCCAATCAGGTTAAATTACCCAGAAATTGTCCAACTCCCTGCGTCCGACTTGACAACAACTGGATAAATCATAAATCCAAACATGGTTGAATTCGTGGTTGCATGAACTAAATCTCCATTTTTGTTGGTTTAGGTCCCCATATATTTTGCTGTTTGAATCTCTACAGCCAGATTATGTTCAATTTCAACCATTCGAGGTTTGGAAAATCAATGTGTTCAATAGAAATTTGATGTCCATGCGCAGTTCAAACAAAAAAACACTATTTCTGGTGCCTAGATCCTCAGTTTTTTAATATATATATATATATGTGAACAAATGAATCCTTGTTCTGGATATCCTTGACGTTGTAGTTCCCTTGTGCTGTTAACCGAACCAATCAAGACATGAAGCAGCACCGCGCACTATTTTCACCTTGCAATGGGGTCTTGAGCCAGATGGCGTCCCAATGCGTTTACTGGCGCAAATGTACAGTTTACGCGCCTATATTGTCGCTTCGTTCCCTTTAGCACCCCCCATGCCCGTGGTATCTTTGAACCACGGACACGAGAGAGGGAACTTTGGATTGGTGAGGTCCTGCTACTTGAATTACGCCTATTTACATAAAGATGCCATTCGGCTCCCCCTTCCCCACATACCCGTCGGGTATAATGGTTCAGGGTTCACCTACTCTATGGCTGTCGATGCATTGGCGTTTCATCAAGCTGTACAACGCGAATTATTGCTAGCTAACACCTACTTTTCTACGTTCGCTAAGCTCTCCACTCACCCGTCGGGAGAAATGGATCGCCTCGCTATCAAAGACTTACAGTGCTAACTAACGAATTCACGTGCACAATGCAGAATCTCGTGCAGATTGGGAAAAAAAAATCAAAGTTCTGAACCTAAGCGAATTAGTCTAATGCCTCGCTCAGAATCCACTCAGTTGGTCTTTTCCTGATCATCTGTTCACAAAGACGATACACATCTTATAGACCAGTGATCATGAATCAATTGGTTTACTCCTCACGGCGGACTTTCTTCCATTGGGGTGCTGATGGAGGTTTCTCCCATTGTGCCGCACGTTTTGGAGCAGCTTTCGGCGATGAAGGCTTTGCAGGCGGCGCCTTCGACGGTTCATGGGATTTTGGCATAGCTTTGGCTTTTGGTGCGCTAGTCGATGAGGATGATGCCGAACCAGTGCCTTCGGGTTTCTGCGAAGGTTGCGCGGGTGGTTTGGTAAACTTGGAAGCTGCAGTGTGCCCAACCGCCTTAAACACTTCGCTCACCACTTCGTCACCAAGAGTTGGAGCCATCTTCATTTTCATTTCGGTCTTTCCCCTTTGCGCTTCAGCCTCAGCCAGCTGGATAGCATATGCCATCTTGCTGACAAAATTTTGTGGTAAGGCAATTCCACACTGTTGGGCTGCAAAGAGCAACTCTACTCTCTGTTCTTTCTCCCTTAGGCTCAGATAGACTGAGAATGCCGGAAGTTCGACGCAGTCGGGGAAGCCGTGGCTCCCGGAACGAAAGAAGGTGTACGACTCGTGCTCTGGGAACGTCCCTTTGAGAAGTCGCCGAAGGAAATTGCTGATTGTCACTCGCATCTCCTGCTTCCCTTGGGCGTCAGCCTGCATTCGGTTCATTGGCATGAGGAAGCCTAGCGATTCTGGAGTGTATCCGGCGCATACCAGAAATTCCATCATCTTCTCATAGATCTCCAAGGTCTTGATGACAGGCATCATCATGTTTCTGGGTCGTCCTGAATACAACTTCTCTCCTTCTGACCATGAATTCCTCTTCACCTTCTCCTGAAAGAGTTCGTCCAACTCCAGCTCCGTCGGTCGCTTGAGGTTGCCATCCTGGTCTTCTCCTGTATAGGGACAGAAGTCGTCCAGGTCCAGCCGGACTCGCTTGGTCTCTGTCATCATCTCATGGTATTCCTCCGGGGTCATGGTGACTCTTTGTTTGTAATAAAAACCGGAACATGGTGATGATCTTTGACATGACTGCGTTGTCGTATAAGTGAGCCGCGGCCTCGGAGACATCATTGTTGATGAGTCCATCTTCTGGCATACCCTTGCTGCCGCTCTCGAGGTTCTTGGTCCACGCTGGAAGTTTGTAAGAGGGTTCATCTTCAGGTTCGATGTCCATTTCGTCGTCGTCATCTTCAACGATTTCGTCGTCCTCTTGTTGGGCTTCCTCCTCTTGATCCATTTCCTCATCATCGCCTTCGTTGTAATCGACCTCATCGGGATTGAAGCCATAGTCGTTGGATTCGGACACGTTCTCTTGTGCTTGATTGACCGTATCCTTGAATAATGACTCTTCTTGTCGACGAACTTCTTCATCGAGCTCTTTCTTCGAGGCCTCATCCTCATCATCTTCAGGAGCTTGTAGCCGATATGGACGGATTCCACAACTTTCAAGTTCCGTCCAGCAAACTAGACAAACTGCTAGCTTTGTCGGCGTCTCATTGAGACAGTGAGGACAATGGCGGCAACCTGATGTTTGCACCCTTTTGCGTTCGACTATATAGTCAATCAGCTTGATGCGGGCCATGTATTGTTCTTGTCCACCAGGTTCGATGAGGTTGCTCTCAAATTTGTTGACGATGTTCATGGCATCCATGGCGGTTTCGTCAAACGGTTGGTCTTCGGCGTCGATGCACTGCCTTGCAACCCTCAAGATGGACTCCTTGGTGGCTACCGTTCTTGATTTGACCGTTCCAGACCGAACTACCTGGTCGTCGCCCGACGGGACGAACAACCGGAGCCACGTCTTATGGTTTTGGTCTCTGGGGTCCTGAATCCATCCTCCTTTGATTGCCGAGAACGGGATGATCTTTGGTGAAACGATCTGTCCCGAATCAGTCAGTCGACCGCCATATTCCACCATCAAGGTCTCGGTCGGGACGAACAAGCAGATGTAGTCCCCCCTTCGCGTATCAACGCTCTTCGTGATGGTCCAAGATCTGTGATCCCAAGGAACATACGGGTTGAAGAACGTGAACATCCGATGACCTTCTCCAAGACCTCCGGGAATTAATCCCTGCCTCCAAATACTTCGAAGGTTGGTCTTCTTGGTGATGTGGAAACAAACCGGTAACGATAAAATGGTGTTGGGCGCGATTGGATGTGAAAGTAATGAGGACAGCAATGAGACGTCGTCCCTTGATGACCCTTCTTTGTGCCCCGTAGGAGCACGGACCGCTACAGGATACAGCAGTAGACCTTCATCAGGGATGTTCGTGTCCGCATCAACCTTGTTGTCAATGCACGTCAGGCTTGTGCGCTCAATGTCCTTGTTGATGCCAAATGCCAAGACTTGTTCACGAACACGACGTCCATACCGGGCACAGTGGAACATGATCTTGAAGAGCAATGTCATGCGGAAGTTTGCCTCTTTGAGGTTCCACGCACTCTGATCATTTGCTCTCCCTTTTGGAGCAAGGAACACATGTGGCCAGCGTGCATAGTCGTGCCTCCAGATGGACTCACATTTGAGCACGTCCTCGATGGGCACCCAGCCGGCGTCATCACATGGCAGACTTTGTTGCTCTGATGCTTTCCCCACGTTGTGCCGCAGGATCCTGTTTAGTGATGCACTCACTTTGTCCTCGTAAGTGTTGAGTCGGTTGCCAGTGTCAAAGCGGTAGTTTGCTGCATATTCGACGCCGCCGAAATAGGAGCAATTGAAGAAATGCGCCCCCGTCGTTGGGATGATTTTCAAGAAACCATCTTGCGGCGCCTCGACTCTCTTGTAGAAGGGCTTCCTGATGTTGTTATCAGAATAGCTTGCCATGAATTCTGGCACGGACCACGAGTCGCCTCCTCCTCTGACGATAGCGTCACGGATCACCTCGTTGAGGTCAACAATGTTCTGTGGCCCTAGCTTTGTGATATCACGTCTTTCTATGCAGAATCTACCATACTCATCGAGGTCACCAACTTCGGACATGGTTCTGATGCAGTCGTACCATTGGTGTTCACTAAACCTCGATCTTGTGGGTTCCTCCGTTTGCCCCGACCCGTCAGTAGCGCCTGAACCGTCCTTCTTGTGCTCAGGAGGCTCCATATCGACGTCATCAGATGTTGGACTATCAGCCTCGAGCGACGCTCGGACGGCCTTTAGCACCTTTCTGACTTCATCTCTCTTCTCATGTTCACATTCAAGATGGCTGTGCTTGGTGCTACCGCAATACAAACACACATTGACATCCTCGGAGACGGTGAAGATCTTTCCCAACGCATCCAAAAGTTGTTGCTTCCCGGAAATCTCTGAATCCCTGACAACATCGGTTGGATCATTTGCTGGCTCATCAGCTTCCTCCTCCCCAGGGTGAGCCGACGACTCGTCACCTGGCTTGGCATCTG